TCAACAATCTCCGCGGATATCGGGTAACATCGGAGGCAGCCGAACGAACGGCGGCAATCACCGGGAATTATTCTCTGTCGCGCGGCAGAGTTCGCACAATCGGGACACGGACCGCACGAATATTTCGGTCGCGGCGATCATGTATCCGGCCCGTGTGTCCCGCGCGCGGCCCGATAAAGTGGCAGAGCTAGTATTTGAGCAGCCCTCGACCGAGCGCGTTCCATCGAATTAATATTCGTTTTTCCCGGGGCCAATCTCAAAGGTATTTGAGATGTCAATTATCAAGCGATACTGCGGTCTCGGCAAGCTGTCGGAAATCCAGTGTGCCGTCGCAATGGGGCGAAGTGACGAATTTTGAAAAAAAAATCGAACATTTTATAGAAATTAAGCGATAATTTTTCCTATTATCTTAAAGTTGAAACGTTGCAGAATAACGGAAAATTAGTGATAGTGTACTGGGAACTGCTGTTTTGACAATTTACGCGAAAATCGAAATATTTCCAAAAAATTTTGAGTTGCAAAATACCATGTAAGGATTGATTTTTTAAATGTCATGTCGCATATCGTTTCCAGTAGATTTCTACGCGCTGATTTCAAATCCGCTCGCAGAATTGATCCAGCATTTCGAGTTTTTGAGAAAAATTAAATTCTGACGGTCACGTGTCTACTACAGTAAGTTCTCCCTAATCGACGCTCAGATGGTCACACAAAAATGGGCAATTTGAGAAGATAAGGTACAATTGTTATCTCCTCTTTCTAAATTGTCCATTTTTGTGCACAATCCGAGCGTCGATTACGAAGAATTTAGGGCACAAACGATCACGGATCGAAACGCGTCGCGTGGCAGTTAACAATCCAAAATGTAAATGTAATAATTACGTTCGAGATATTAATCACGTTGCACGCGCCGCGCCGCCGTGCGATTCGCAGCCGCGCGAAGTTAATTAGCAACTGCAGAAACATAAAATTCAATTACCTTTAAGCGCGGTTGCGTTAATCGTTCTCGTCAAACCACGCTTTGTTTACGTGACTTGCCTTCGCCTTTCCGGGGAGCACGACTGATACTCGATTAGAAAAAAAAAGAACATTGCAATAGTTCAACATTTTTTAACATTTCTAAGATTTTTTAAGATTCTTTTAACATTTTTTAACATTTTTAAGATTTTTTTGTTAATCTTTCCAAAATTAAAATGGTTAGAAACGCTCGTGCTCGATTTTTAAGAATTTTTAACATTTTTAAACATTTTTTGACACTTTCGACATTTTTAACATTATCGAACATTTTTTCTGTCAATTTTCCCAAAGTTACAATTGTCAGAAACTCTCGTGCTCAATTTTCCATAGGACCATAAAACAACAGAAAAATGACTTTCGTCTGGCAAAAAAACAGCGAAAGCAAAAAATAAAATATCACCGACGTCGTCCAGCATTTTGGAAATACGTGCGTGCCGTGAGTGCATCGAATCGTAGATCGGCGACGTGTTCGCGCGGTGGCTGGAAACACGTTTTCTTTTCTTTTTTCTTCCGGCGTCGCGGATCGATCGGCGGCGAAAAAGCAGATGGCTTGAGACGCGGGACACGGAGAAAGGCGGGAGAAGTCGTGGGCCGGGTGCCGTGTTTGCGTCGGAGATTAAACGATATTGCGTCGGATAATTTGTCACGGAGATAACCCGCGATCGAAAGAAAGCGGCCGCGCGCGCGGCTTAGCTGGAAGGAAACGACGACGCGGCGCGGCGCGGCTCGTTGGAACGTGGCGCGGCGAGGGGAGTGGAGTCGATCGAAGGGGGTCAGTTTTTCAGGAGCCGTGGCGTGAAAACGGCCGGAGCCGCGGCGAATCGTCGCCAGTCACGCCCAGATACTATATTCGCTTTTGTATTCAATCCCTGGGTCGCGCGTCGCCCCTCGGCAATTTCGTTTACGTGGACCAATGGCTCACAATGGGGTCTCACAAAGGGATGATCGGGTCCCCGCCAATAAACCGGGGGGCTACCGGGGAAATCGGACTCGTGCGCCGGATTCTATTGCGAGGATGAGTGGGTCAACCGATAAACGGCGTACACGGGACGGCGGAACCGGCGCGTCGGCTGACGGACCTCGCCGCCGAAAATCAAATTTGATAGCGGGACCGCGAGGCCAAGGAGGAACGTCGTTGCGAAGAGCGGATTTGGAACGAAGAAACTATTGCGATACCGTTGGTTTAGTCGTTCATTTCGTTACTAGAGCGATTTGTGTGCTGGAGACCTGATCTGGACCTAATATGGACCTAAGCCAGACCTAAGCTTGATCTAAGCTGGACCTAAGCTGGACCTAATTTGGATCTGATCTGGACCTAATCTGGGCCTAAGCTAGACCTAAGCTTGACCTAAGCTGGACCTACTCTGGACTTAACCTGGACCCAATCTAAACTTAATATGGACCTAAGCTGGATTTAACCTGGACTCAATCTGAACCTAATTTGGACCTAATATGGACCTAATATGGACCTAATATGGACCTAAGCTGGACCTAACCTGAACCTAATCTGGACCTAATTTGGACCTAATATGGACCTAAGCTGGACCTAATGTGAACCTAACCTGGACCTAAGCTGGACTTCAACTGAACTTAAGCTGAACCCTATCTGGACCTAATTTGGACCTAATCTGGACCTAACTCAGACCTAAGCAAGAGCTAACGTCACAGAATTATGTAGAGCGAGTCCGAAACGGGAATTAGATCTCCGTATTCTTTTATTACTTTATTTTTTAACAAGAAAATATTTCTATTCTTTTATCTTGTAGCTTTTCGTAATAATAAATTTTCTCCTACTATTATTTTGTTTCTTTTTTAGCAGCACAATCTTCTTATCGTTTCATCTCATTCATTCCTCAATAGAAACATTTGTTTTACTTCTATTTTCTTTATTTTTCAATAGAACAATTTTTTCATTCTTTCACCTTGTTTATTTCTTAATAAAAAAGTTATTCTCCATCTTTTATCTTATTCATTTTCTATTTAAAAAATTGTTTTATTCTTCGATCTCGTTTGTTTCGCAATTCAAAAATATTCTTCCCAGATAAGGTCTGGGTTAGATCCACATTAGGTCTCGGTTATGTCCATATTACGTCTCGGATAGATCCAGATTGGGTCTGGATTAGGTCGAGATTAAGTTCGGGTTAGGTCCAGATTAGGTTTCGGTTAAGTCAAGGTTTGGTCTGGGTTAGGTTCAGATTGGGTGTGGGTTAGGTCCAGATTAGGTCTCGGTTAGGTTCAGATTACGTCTGTGTTAGGTCCAGATTATGTCTCAATTAGGTCCAGATTAGGTCCGGGTTAGGTCCATAACGTAAGAATTATTTCACGTGACCGAAATGTTGGCCTAGATGCGGTCTATTACGGTACCAAATTCGTTTCGTTCGTGGACAAGATTCGAACTGGATTAAAATTGTGGCATATTCAACCGAGGACCGTACAGCGATGGTCTAACTCAAAATACGCGCGGGATAATACGGCATGATAACATAGATTTACTTTAATGGATTTCGCTAAAAACACGTGTAAATGGAAAAATGCTGGGGGAAAAAACAAGCCCGGCCGTTATACCATACCGGATTGCTTTGGGAACAAATCAGCATCGCAAATGGAATTGAAAATGTGTTCGTACAAATGTATTTGTATGCGGAACGGTCGAAATGTGATTTTTCGAAAGCCGGCGGAAAAGAGAGAGGAAGAGAGGGGGGCGCGCAGTGCGTTGTTTTACGCAAATGTCGCGACAGCATAAAAATCGTGGAGCGAGAACGTCGCGACTGTTGTTTCCCTTCGGTGATTTAATATTTAATAAAATGCTCGCGCGACTTTTCCGGCAGGAGAGCCGGTCTCAATATTTTCACATGCTTGAATTAACGGCGCCCCCCCCCCCCCTCTTCCCCCTGCCCCTCTCAGCCGCCGCCAACGTCGTGATTTCGAATTCCGTTCGCGCAGTATTCTAGCTTATGCTTTATGTATGTTGAACTACGTTCTTTCATTGCTTTCCGTTCGCCGGGTACCGAATTTGCAAAATATCCGATGAATAACGTAGAATCCCGAAGCAGTGGGGCCATTTATATTTTTCCGGGACCAAACGTGGAACGTACCGGTCCGGTGTTATCTTGAGCAGCACGCGCATTTCCCGAGCGGAAGCGCGCTGTTGCGAGGCGTACTCCGACGTGGATCCACCGAAAACCGTACCTTTCGCATTAACGATTGTTTACGGAGAGATTCCCGGAGAAATTCTCACCTGTTGATCTTCGATTTTCACGAAAAAGTGGGGTCTCATTAAATTCGAAATATATTAAGTATATTAAGTGTGTGTTAAGTATATTAAGTGTATAAAGTATATTAAGTATGTTAAGTATGTTAAGTATATTAAGTGTATTAAGTATATTAGGTACATTAAGTATATTAAGTACATTAAGTATATTAAGTATATTAAGTATATCAAGTAGTAAATATATTAAGTAGTAGGTATATTAAGCAGTAAATATATTAAGTAGTAAGTATGTTAAGTACATTAAGTAAGTCAAGTAAATAAAGTATATTAAATATATTAAGTATATTAAGTATATCAAGTAAATCAAGTATATTAAATATATTAAATACTAAGTATATTAAGTCTATTTAGTATATTAAATACTAAGTATATTAAGTCTATATATAGTATATTTAGTATATGTAGTATATTAAGTATATTTAGTATATTAAGTAGTAAGTATATTAAATATATCAAGTATACCAAGTATATCAAGTATTCAATATTTCAAACCGAAATAAAATTCCATCCTATTCCTTTCAATAAATAAAATTTATACACTCGAATAAATATAGACACACAATACATATGTATAGTATTTTTGTTCCGAATATAATAAATATACATTTCCGAGTGCTCTCTACGTATCTTGAAATTTTTTGAATTTCGAATCTTTTGGTGGTATAATCCGTTGCGAGCAATTATTAGAATCGTGAGAGAGTGGTTATCGTTGCAGCTGCGACTGACGATGGTACAACAAGGAGCAGCCATTGTGGCAGCGTAAAAAAAACGGTGGCCATCGTTGTCGCGAAGATATGTCCGTCTTACAGCCCATAGTAGCACTCGTGGGTAAAGGCAATACGGTTCCTGGCGGAGCAATACAAGGGGCAAGCAGCGGGGTAAGTAGTATAACGTGTTCGTGTAACACTTGAATAACGACGGCTCACCAGTGGAGTTCACGTCGGGGCGACCCTACATACATATATATGTATGTAGTACATCTCTCCCTCTCTCTCTCTCTCTCTCTCTCTCTCTCTCTCTCTCTCTCTCACTCTATATATATATATATATCATTTAAATAT